ACCCAAATGCATCTACAACATTGGTATTCACTTCTATAATAAGAACAATTTCTCTTCTTTTTCTCTCTTGTAAATATTCACTTCTATAATAAGAACACTTTCTCTTCTTTTTCTCTCTTGTAAATATATATATATATATTCCTTTAATATTGTGATTGACTGTAAATAATTTATTACCTAACACAATACAAACTAGCATAACTAGAGACCTAAATAAAAAGTCTACTAAGATTTCTAGTAGGTATATATCTAGCCCGCACTCTACAATTATTGTAAATATACTACACATAAATTTATTGTACATGGGGAAAATTTTTAAAATAAAAAAAAATAAATAAAAAAAAAAGTACTGAAGACAATGATGATAAATTAAAACGGAAAGCAGCAAAGATCGCGAAAGTTAACATCAGAGAACAGTTGAAGGACGATTAAAGGGAAGTAAATATAACTGTGTAGACTGTTGTTGTTAAAAATTTATAATTCGTTTAAATTTGTTAGGGGAGTGTGTGATGAACTCTGAACAGTAATAGCTATATTTAGAGACACGCGCAATATTACCTTATATGGTATAATGACTTTGTTATTGTTCAAGAGTATAGACAAGGTTAAATGATTTTCTTTTCTATACTTATACATTTATTGTAAATCTAGCTAATTATAAGGTAACTTTCAATGGTGCATGAATTGACTACTTGAATCGTCTGAATCACAACTGGTATTTTTTAGTTAAACTAGTAAACAAATACATGCAAGTATACACATACAAGTAAGATATTTCAAAATTGTAATAGATCAGAATTTTCTCATTACTTATTTTGGCAACAGAAGATGCAATAAAAATCTAATACCAATAGACATAATTTTTCTAACGCAGTGCATTATGTGTCTATAATTCAGTATCAAAACCAATAATATTTTCTAGTATCTTTATAAATGTGCAACACTCTTTCGTAAAAACACCTAGAGAGCTCACAGAAATATATATTTACCAATATAGGTAACATCATTAACCATTCATTCTTTATATTTAGTGTTCTTTAAATTCGTTTAAATAATAATATAATATTGATTTCATTGTTATTAATTACTATAATTATTATTGTAGTTATTATAATTATTGTAATAATTATAATTATTATAATAATTATAATTACTATTAATTTTTATAATTATTTATTATTATTTTTTATAATTATTGTTTAGTAGTATTAATAATTACCTGAAATTTTGATATTTAAATAAACCATTGTTTTACAGAGAAGCCCAGACCTCCTCCTGGTGGATGCTGTCCAAAGAAATATATCCATCAATGCTGCCCGTCCGCGGGTGATAATGAAACTATCTATCCTTGTGAAAAACAACCGACATCGCCAAGACCCGGATCAGGTGTCCCTAAAGTAATTCTTCCAACCCTCAACCCAAGGACTGCCTGTGCCTACAGCTGGCTTACTCAGGCATGTGCAGGTGGATTTTACCTGGACGGTAGATTACAGCCAAAAGCTTGCCCAAAAGGTATGTGCATTTAGTCACAATATAAATGCGTATCAGTAATCGCAGGATCGATTCCTGTCAGAGGAATATAGGAGGAATAGTTGCATTCCTCGCGGCTGCTCCTGGTTAGGTCTGATAAAGTGTATAAAATTTCCATCAAAATCGCTCGAAATTTCCATCTGCTGTATGTAAAATCACTATATATGTCCGTAATAAGGTCACACTAGAACATGTTTACTTTCTTTTAGTGAATTGTATACGTTTAGTACAAGTATTAGTCGTATTAGGGAGCTTAAGCAAGCGACGTCAAATTACCGAGGGGGGACTGGATTAAAAACTTGTGTCAGTTTGTGGTAATCGTCAACGCATATGACAAAAGTTTTTTGCTTTCTTACACGAGCGCTGTGCCTATATGATGCAAAATGCCGTAAAAATTAGTTAACCAATTTTTGGGGGACGTCCTTGTTGACAAAAACGTCGCTTGCTTAAGCTCACTATTAGTATTTTTAGAGTCGGGCTAACAATAGTCATGTAAAATGGTTGAAAAATGAGCATTAACTTTAATTATTTAAATATAGGTTTCTATTGCCCACTTAAAGCTCTGTGTATTATTCCCTGTCCGTCTGGTGCTTATTGTGTACAGAAGAAAATGAAACTTGAAAGTGTAAGTATATATACATGAACGTGGTTTCGTTACTGACAGGGGCAAATGAGTTTTGTACACTTTGGAAGAAATGTTGACTATGTTGAAAAGTCTTTATGCATTACAAGATATGCATATTTAACAATTATAGACAACGAAGCCGAGTTGTCTATGAGCGAATAGTCAACGAGGCGAAGCCGAGTTGACTATTCGCTCTGAGAGAACGAGGCTGAGTTGTCTAATTGTTTTAGTATAAATCACACAAAGAAAACTGAAATTTTAACTTGATTTTTATGTAAAACAAGACGCTCTATGGAGCGTTAACTCGCTGGGGCTGTACAAATAAAAACTGAATTTTGTCACCATATTTGCTCATAATTTGGTAACCACAACAGTAAAACAGAACAATTTACAGAAACGAAGACGCCAGCTCAGGCGCGCGTTCACATTGGCCTCGGCCGTTGGCCAAATAACCTCTCAAGCAATCTCGTACCCAGAGTATGCCCGTTCGCAGGTTAGGCGCTGGGCATACCCTGGGTACGAGATTGACCTCTCCTCGGTCCCAGTGTCTTTAATAATAACAACTAATAATTTAATGATTTATAAAGCGCTTTTTACATGTAATGATCAAAAGCGCTGTATTACAATATAACTAATGTTCAAAGTGTAATAAAATGTTGAAATGTTAACTTTAATATAAACTAAATAATTAAAAGCTAGTTTAAAAAGATGAGTCTTAAGACAAGTTTTAAAAACGCTTATTGACGAAATGTCACGAATTTCTTTTGGAAGTTCATTCCAAAGTTTCGCAGCTGCCACAGTGAAAGATCGGTCGCCAAATGATCGTAAAAATTTACCCTTAGGGAACTCTAGCATTATGCTATCATTAGAGCGTAAAAGGTAATTTCCTTCACTTTGACAACAAGTAGGTCTACCATGTACTTTGGAGCCATTCCATGTAAAGCTTTAAAAGTAAGCAATAGCAGTTTAAAATGGATCCTGAACTTCACAGGTAACCAGTGTAGTTCACGTAATATAGGTGTAATGTGATCGTATTTTCGTGTTGAAGTCACTAATCTGGCAGCGGCGTTCTGAACCCGACATTATATGACATGACATTGATAAATTTGAATCATGCCAAACTCCTAGATCACGAGCTATTGGTACAGGAAAGACATCAGCATTCCCGATACGTACATGGCATGGGTTAAGTTTCCGCAGTTGCTGCTTAGATCCAATTATTAGCAGGGGCGAAACTTGAGGGGTATCGGGGGGGGGGGGGGTGACCCCCCCCCAAAATACGAATCATCTGGATTGGCAGGGCGAATCATCAGGATTGGCAGGGCAATCAAAGATTTTAAATAATAGAATGTAGAGTTATCCCCGAGCCGGCGGCGCGAAGCGCCGTGCGAGGGTACTAATTCCCCCCGGCTATTTACACCCGGGGGAAACGAAAGCATTAGCGGAGTCTAAAGTTCATCAAATATCGCGGGCGTCGGTCACCAACGATGGGTGGTCATCCTTACTGATCTCAAAAATATGGCGGACTGTCATGAATAACGAACACTGATTGGTCCAATTTAAAGTTTGCATTATAACGGCTATATGACGACAGCGAAATAGCAAACATTTCTTGATTTGATGAGTTGATGATTGATAAATTTCTTGCAAATATTCTTCATTTTTGCTGGTATTTCTGCAAGATTTTGTAAATTTCAAGAAGAAAGGGCGAAAGAATCAGCTAAAAGAAGGGAGCCGACGTTAACGAAGGTAAGTTTGTTTTAAATATTGATTTTATAATGGCTTTAAAACCCGACGGCCTTTGCGTATATGAAACAACTATTAAAACAAGACAGCATATAATTTCAGTGTATCTTTAATACTGATTCCCTTTTTTATTATATTGAATTTTTTGAATAAAAAATAAAGCAAAGTTGATTTGCAAGCGAGAATTTGAAATCATTTTATTGCAAACTCAAAGTTTATCGATAAAGCCATTTAATAGTTAAAGGCAGTTTAGTTTTATAAAGAACACTTTAAAACGTTTTGTGAATTGTTTGTGGTTGAATTTTACCTTAAATTGAAGCTTGTATTACGTATAATTACATACCTAACATAAATATGTTGGGAAATTGATAATTTTGTAATTAAAAGTAATATTTTTAGGCGATTTTCATTTGTAAGAATATTCTTAAAAAATTATCGTGTTACCATGACAACTACTTTAGATACTTCATGTTCGGAAAATACAACGGTTTTGTCAGCAAGGCGAGGGTTTCTGCATGCATGTATTTTCTAGTTAAGTAACTTACAGGGCGGAATATTGAATAGAATTTTATAGACCTAATTTTACAGATATTGGTCCAAAAATAAGGGTTTTGGACCATTTTTGTCCCCGAGCCCGAATCCCCCCGGCTATTTACACCCGGGGAAACGAAAGCATTAGCGAAGTCTAAAGTTCATCAATAATCGCGGGCGTGGGTCACCAACGATGGGTGGTCATCCTCACTGATCTCAAAAATATGGCGGACTGTCATGAATAGCGAACTCAAAGTTTATCGATAAAGTCATTTAATTTAAAGGCAGTTTAGTTTTATAAAGAACACTTTAAAACGTTTTGCGAAGCCGGTTTGTGGTTGAATTTTACCTTAAATTGAGGCTTATATTACGTACAACAACATACCTAACATATATATGTTGGGAAATTGATAATTTTGTAATTAAAAGTGATATTTTTAGGCGATTCAGTTTAGGCGATTCAGTTCAGATTTAGGCAGTTCAGTCTTCAAATTCAATTTGTTCTCTTTACATTTTAAGATATTTTTCTCAAATTAAAAGTAATTTATGAAACTTAGAGCTTCGTTGAAAAGGAAAACAGTTCATGTTTTTAGGCAAAAAGTTAAAGCAACAAAATTCGTAAACATTAAATATTCAAAGCAAACTTGCCGTATATTTCACGATTTCCCATAGTAAATCAATTCTTCTCATTTCTTCAAACAAAATTGCTTCAAGCTTAATGGACAACTTGCATGTTAGACGAAATTTTAATCTAAGCAGAGAAAAGGGAATCAAACACCACAGCTAAAAAGAACGTATTGAAATTAGTAAAAGTGCAAAATTTGGTTGCGAAATGTTGTAAAGCTTGGAAAATATAGCCTTGCAAAGTTTGCATATTTTCAGTATATTTGTATTACGAGCGGAAATTGTTACCATTTTCGGCTCAAAAATGGTAACAATTTCAGCACGTAATACAAATATACTGAAAATATGCAAATTTAGCAAAGCTATATTTTCAAAGCTTTACAACATTTCGCAACCAAATTTTGCAAGTTTACTAATTTTAATAAGTTCTTAACGGGAATTTACTTTTTTTTTGCCTAGATCGGTTAGTTCAAAAATTTGTCTAACATGCAAGTTGTCTATTGTTGTATATGAAACGATTTTCCAAATATATGTCATTTAAATTGAAATCTTGCTCATTCCACTCCTACAAGCAATCAGCCATATTTTTGAGATCAGTGAGGATGACCACCCACTCAACACCGTTGGTGAGCCACGCCCGCGATCATTGATGAACTTTAGACTTCGCTAATGCTTTCGTTTCCCCGGGTGTAAATAGCCGGGGGGAATTAGTACCCTCGCCCCGGGCTTACGCCCGGAATGGCGCTCCGCCAACCTCGTTCCCAGGGCTTTTCCCTTTTTGTCATTGGGAAGGCGGCAAAAAGGGAAAAGCCCTGGAAACGAGGTTGGCGCTCCGCGCCGTTAATTGGCTCGGGGATAATTAAGTTTACGTTAAAAAGCGGAATAAAAATACACGCAAAAGAATCCGAATGTCGTTAAAATCTTTAAAATATCTGGAAAAATAAAGAGACAAATCATTTCCATCATATCATCTAGTATACGGCATAGACAAAAGTTTAGATTAAAATTTAAAGATGATGTCCACTCCTGTGCGCATGAGCGAACTTTGTTAACGTTTTGAACTGCTATATTTGTAAAATATGATATACTAACTGAATATATCTAACACTTTTCTGGTTCGCTTTACTTGTAAATGAATATAAACAGGGATGCCGGAAGTTGCTGGGGGCTAGGGGTGCAATTGGTTAACAAGAGGGCATATTCCTTAACAAAAGGGCACTAATGAAAATGAAAGGGTATCTAAAAATTATTTTTGGCGACCTCCCCCGTCGCCAAAAATGTTTTGGTCAGTGTACCATTTTAGGGGTACAAAAAATTTTCCGGTCATACCACAATTTTTCCTAAATACGAAAAAAATTTTCCGGACATACAGAACATTTTCCGGATAATGTTATTTTTTCCAGAAATTAAAACATTTTTCCGGAAATAACATAGATTGAATTTTTCAAAAATGCCCTTTGCGCAAAAAAAATGCAATTTTTAATGAAAATTTTTCACGCAAAAAGGGCACTTTGTGCACCCGTTGCACCCGTATTCTGCACCCGTAAAGTTGTGAAGACAAAAGGCAACGGGTGCAACTGCACCCGCTGCACCCGTGGTTCCGGCATCCCTGAATATAAACTATTTTGAACGAGTTTTATGCTCCTGGACGTGACGTGTCTAAATAAATAAATAATTCATTCATTCATTCATACATTTCAATTCAAAAAAGTTCGAAAGATGCAAAATTTGGGCAATGTTTAGGTATTTTTGTTATGAGCAGAACTGATGCGCAGAACGGAGTGGACATCATCTTTAATCGAAAAACTCGATTAAAAAGGTGAAAACCCGATTAAAAAGGCGAAAAACAAACTCGGTCAAAATCTTGACATTTAAACGAAAAAATTCTTTAAAATGATAGTTAATACACGAACTCGTACTTAAAACAAACACACACTAAAACTGTAAAAGGTTGAGAAAATAGCGGTAAGTAACTACAAATTATTGTTGAATTTCAACGTTTCTGCTTGGAATATTAACAAACATTGTGCATATCTTTAAAAAATCGCTTGTCACTTTCATGTTCAAAACTACGAGCAAAATTTTACCGTATGTGTCTGCAGCTTCCAAAAGTCTTTGTTTTTGTGTAATTCAGAACCAAAATTAGGCCATTTTGACAAGCTTTTTTCCTTTAAATGCAGCTTTTAATACTTAAAAACGACCATTGACTCTCGCGCCCTTCGAGCCTACTAGTAGCGTAGCCAATCAGAACGCACGGTATATGATAGCCCACTAGTAGGTTTATATATACTAAAAACAATTGGTAATGGCGCAGCAAAATTTTATACATCGAGCAGTTCGCATTCACATGTTATTATAATGGTAAATTCTAGATATGTGGCTGTCGCACGCAATTAGTCTAGGGCTGATAAAGTTAGAGATTGTCTTTCTTGACCTCTGGCGAGAACCGATACAGTCGAAGTGCCCAGTTGTTGTTAGTATATATTATTATCTGTGCCACACCTAGACCGTGCGGTTAATATTTTCTTCATTCTTAATTGACAGAGAAAAGTGCAGTGCAATGGTTTCGGTGTGTGTTGTGGTAATAATGAGCCTCCTCTTATACTAAATCATACAGCAGGAACAAAATGTAAGGGTCTGAATGATTCAAATTGTTTGTGCGGTGGTACAGAGACACCTAAACCTTGTCCTGGTGGTTATTACTGTCCAACACCTGATGATAAGTTACCATGTGGGTCTGGTGATTATTGTCGTGCTGGAAGCACTGAACCTGAGCCATGTCCGGTAGGTACAGAATATAATATTGGTATATTTGTGTGGAATTCATTAAGAATTCATCAAGTAACCACAAAAGAAATCATGAACGTGAAACTGAAGGAGTTTGTTTATCTCATACAAAATCATGCTGATTTGTATAAACTTTAAGTTCAATTTTCTCACCAAATATCATTCATTTATTTACGTTACGTTTCGAGCCAAGACCCTTCGCGTTGGGAAGTTAATAGTAGCGGGGGTCTGCATGCTGCATTTTGGTGCACAAATTGTTTGTGTTAAAATATTTCTTATTTTCAGGCTAATAAACAATTTTTCAACACAGACTGCTATTTAAGGCAAAGACCTGCCAAAGTGTAAGAGTTTCCATTCAAGCGAAAATATAGCTCTTTATTATAGTCAGTCATCTTGCTAAATCTCGCATAAACTTCGGTATTTTTCAGATTTAATTTTTCATAAAGATGATTCTTGGTATTGTACTATTGAATTTGTCCTTTTGCAAAACTGATAGTCTTGAAGAATTCTGTAAGGCATCAGTGATTACTTTGGTTGAAATTAATTTCGGGAGAAAAAGAATGACAACCATTTTTCGTATCCGTTTATATTGCCAGTGGCGGCGCCAGGGGGGGGGAGGGGCAAGGGGAGGGGCAAATGCTCCCCAAATTATTTTTTGCCCCCCCCCCCCCCATTTTTCCCCCCTCAAAAAAACTAAAGGCTACACAAGCGTTTTGTCGTTATCGGAAAATGTATGGCTTATAAGTTGTCATTACTCATTTATAGTGAATGCGCGTACACATGAAACTGTTTTTTACAGTTTCAATATTAGTTTGTAAATCTCTGAATGGTAAAACTTGCCAATACTCCAATAATACGTTTCAAAAAAAGACAAAAAAGCTTTAGTTTTGCAGAGTTCAATTCTCAAACGTGTAAGGCACTAATAAGATGAAAGTATCACGAAATTATTTGAATAAACCACATCGCATATATGGGGGGCGAATGTCCTAAAGAGGGGCGATATTCCTAGGGTGTTCGCCCCACCCCCCTGGGAGCCGATATCGCCACGTTTTGAGGGGGGCGAATCTCCTGGGGGGGGGGGGGCGACCTTTTTAAAAATTCTATCTTGCCCCCCAAAATTTGAATTTGCCCCTCAAATGCCCCCCCAAATTTGGAGGCCTGGCGCCGCCACTGCTATATTGCTATGGTGTAATTAAGTTTATGACTGTGTCGACAATCGACATCATATTAGTATTAATTTACACCAAAAGACTGAATGCATGCATGCATGGTTAAGCATTTAAAACTTTTTTACACTGCTTCAGTGTAATGATGCTTGTGATGTTACTCTGAGTGTATATCCACACCGGGCAAGCTTGAAAAATATGCCTGACCACGGTGGGAACAGGGTGCGATAATTCGCGTACCAACGTACCGGAGGTACGCCAAATTTATGGTCTGGTACTTCTTTGTTTTTAGGCAAATACCACGTAGGTACGCGGAAATTTGCTATTCGCGTACTTACATTTTCCTTCTAGCAATAACTAGCAAACCTGCCAAAGTATTCAAAACCGTGAAGAACTTTAGCTGTACATGTAAATTCCACGCATCCGACATATTTCGAAATGAAAAAAGCCAAAAGGTTATCTTTACGCTTGATCAAAAAATTTATCGTCATCGTCCAACTGAAAAAATATCGTCAAACGTCAAACGCCGATAATTTTATCGTTTTCGTTGTAGTGTGGACACCAACATAATTTTTTCACCAATTATCGCGTGTTTTCAAGTTATCGTATCGTTATCGTTCAAGGCCTTTATAAAAATAAAATACCTGTGGTTCGGGTTTCCCGACCAACCCTATTTTTTCTGCCCACCCTATTATTTTTTTTAAACGCGATTGACCGTGCGCCGTGCGACCCTATTTTCTCCGGGTGGTTGCGGGCTGCTCCTACAGCGTGCCAAAATGGCGTCTGTTGTCACAATAATTATTGAACCAAATTGCCTAAATTCGTCCCTGGGAACTACGCATCTCTAGTTAATATTGATGTCGGGACTCTACTGAAAATCGCCCAGAAACAAAACGCGAAAACCATGAAAAAAATATTCAAAATTTTTTTTATTTCCGACCTATACCTACCCTAATTTTTCGCAATCTGAAACAGGAACCACAGGGTTTTTTTTAGGCCCAATGAGGAAAACTACACTGTATGTAGCTGAGGTCAGACTGTTAGCACCCTCGGTAAATCCACTGTAAATGAGCGTTGGCATTCGAGTCACAACGTCGACGCTTTGAAAACTGTTATATTATGTTGTACAAATACCATAATTAAAGATTTATTTGTACAAAATTGCCCATACATTTTTTGCTTTTGGACCAGTAAACTATAAGTAGGTATAAAAACGCATGACTCGGAAGTTGTCTTAGGTACGTCTTGACTCTTAAGTGTGTACCAGACCAGATACGCGGCAAAAGTTGTCGGAGTACCAGTCAGGTACGGCTAAAAATATTGAATTATCGCACCCTGTGGGAATCGAACCTACGACCTTTGGAATACTAGCCCAATGCTCTGCCAACTGATATATTTTTCAAGCTTGCCCGGTGTGGATATACACTCAGAGTAACATCACAAGCATCATATTCACCTGAGTACATTACACCAACATAGAAAAAATCATGATTATTAGATTACATTGATATCGAAGGAACTAGATTCTGTTCCGAAATATCACATACTCGAACCGACCAGACCGCGTAGCTCAGTTGGCAGAGCATTGGATTAGTATTCCAAAGGTCGTAGGTTCGATTCCCACCGTGGTCAGGCATATTTTTCAAGCTTGCCCGGTGTGGATATGCACTCAGAGTAACATCACAAGCATCATATTCACCTGAGTACATTACACAAACACAGAAAAATCATGATTATTAGATTACATTGATATCGAAGGAACTAGATTCTGTTCCGAAATATCACATACTCGAACCGACCAGACCGCGTAGCTCAGTTGGCAAAGCATTGGGCTAGTATTCCAAAGGTCGTAGGTTCGATGCTTCAGTGTCGTTGTATAAACTTTCAGCTGTGTGGGCACCATGGTGGTGAAGACAAAGGCAAAGATTTAAAACCGCCGTTGCAGATGAGGTTGCCCATATAACTATTGAGTAGAGAATACGTGTTTTTTATTTTTGTAGTGGCTTACAAGATGTAAGAAAAGAAGTTCAGCTCCAATCACCAACTTTATTGCCCCCTTACTAGATGCCCTCGTGTTGTTACTTTTCATTGGTTTACTCGTACTTTATTACAAATGGCGGACAGTCAAGTTTTACTGGAATTTTTACTACACGAGATACACTGGCAGGGAACGCTCTTCCACAAGGAGTTTTTGTGTGGACGCAGGACTCGCTCACAGTACTGTCAAACTTAGGGCCTTTCAGGAGTCTGACGCAGATCAACAAATTGAGCCAAAGTCATACACAATTGATATTAGCTTTGAAAACCTCGGGCTGACTTTGAAAGCAGTAAGTTTTATATTATTTTTTGTCATTCCTGAGCAGGCGGAATCGCATAGTCAGTATCCTAGCATTTCCGTCCGTAGCAGCGGACAGAGTTTTACATATTTTGACCATGGTCCAGAATTCTAGGCTATAGGAGACTCCGATTTGTTTGTTTTCTCAATGTTTTTATTGATTGTTTTTAATAAAGTGAAATAGAACGTTTTTCTCGCTTAGTACCCTTTGTGTATGTTTCTTAAGTCAACAACTGAATTGCTTCTTTTTTGTTGAAAAAATAACCCATGATCTCCGAAAAGTACCTATGCACAGCAATCTGCAGTCCCACTAAATAAACGATGTCATTTTGTTTCCGGTACAGGGAGAAAATAAAGGCAAGGTAGTGTTAGAAGGAGTGACAGGTCGTGTAAGTTCCGGTGAAGTTACAGCTGTCATGGGACCTTCTGGTGCTGGAAAGACGACATTTCTTAACACACTGAGTGGAAAAGCTTACTATGGGGTATAGTGTTTGCTTGTTTTCCTGGTTCTTTCCATCCTTCCATTTTTTCATATCGAAAAGTGGAACACCTGAACATATATTTCCTGAAAATGTCACAGATACGATGCAAACGCTAACTATTATACAAAATATACATAAAACATAATGCCCATGCAGAAGACGTCAATTCATTGATGCCAATGGGGCAAAAGGAAGGACAAGTAATTGGTTTAATTCCCTTTAGACCTTTCACCGGCTTTGGGAATGTCAGCAAGGACGGATTCCCCCCCCAAATTTTTTTTCCACACCCCCCAGAGAAATTGTGCACCTCAACAAAAATGTGCTCCCCCCTGTGCCTGCCAAATATTAAAATTAACATGTTTCTATATACGCTTTTTTGCAGCGAATTAACGTAAAAGTAAAACACACTTACAAAAAGTAAGTTCACGTGCTCATCGGCACCACGCGTTCGCACATTCACAATTCAGGGGTGGATTCAGACAGGTTTGACAGATTTACATAAACCTGTCAGATTTTCCAAAGAAAGAAAATCTATAACCTTCCATGTATATATAACTAATTTAAAGAATATTCTGTTTCATAAAATTGATGTCTAATCTATTATTGAAATTTGATTATAGACTACCGAGCGTATTTAGACCCACTGATCATTGCTTTGGCGATTGAGAATCAGGAAATGATTGCGAAGCTTTCACGCTCTTGCAGTTTGGTTTTTAGTTCGTCGTTAGAGTTGGATTGAAAGCGTGTAGATCTAAATCGATGTGTCAGCAATTAGCGGATCCTATATTTTTATTACTAGGCACTAGCAAATACGCTTCGGAAAAGGTTCAATTGTTCAATTCATTGTTTGAGCTGCGTATTAGTAAAAAATTCACTTAAAAACATGCATTTTTGCTGCCGTAGCGAGCGAGCGTGAAGCGAGCGAGCGAGGCAGCATCCTAATCTTTATGTGTATATATATATATAAGGCAGATGAAATCTCGATCGTTTCGGCGTATTTCGGCCTACCACAATGGACTGCTTCCGGGCCGGCAGGCTATTCTTGCCTAATAAACAGGCATAAGGCAAACAAGCAATGTGATCATCTTTCATCTTTGGTTTTCTTTTATGGAAAGCCAAAACTGGCGTAAGTGATCAAACGGCA